TGAGATGTTTTGTGCTGAAATGATCAATTGCAATTTCACAGCCCTTTGCATGAGCAGCAAGCTTTGTTTCAGCAGAAGATGCAGCTGTGCAGGACCGCTGGGCAAAAATAAATATGGTTAGCAATATAAGTGATAAACAAGCAGTTACAGTAAACTAGTCAATAAACCATAAAAACAACAGACAAAACAATCAACATGAAGCTGGTGAAATGACATCAGTATTGCATGTCATATTATGTGAGGGGTGCCTCCATTCTTTTCCTGTCATCGGCTTATTGCTTGTTGGCCTGATGACAGATCCAGTACTGTAAATGTCACTCTGGAATTCACTAAGACATAAAAGGTTTAGGGGCAAATTCACTGTTCATTCAGGCAGCCTGACACAAGTCCAACAATAAAGAGGACCAGAAGTGAGACTGATTTTGTGGGCGGCAATAAAAGCAACGAAAACAATTCATTCATTACTTAGGTGTTGTGTAATCTTTGAGTCAGTAAATCAAGACCAGCAAACATTGTTTACATCTATGTTGAATGAACACATTTGTAATAAAAGTTAAAATATTACGAGTTTTGATGATTGCTGATCTGACTTGGAGACAGGTACATAGTTGTTAAATGGGTCCAGTAAAGGTTTGTTCTTTCATTTCACTGTGTTATTATGTCATGATGTGTTTTCTGCATTGAAACACTCTTCTACATGTTGTGTTTTAGTGCAGAAACTTCCAAATCTCCCAGGAAGCAGGAAGCTGTAGTAAACAGTCTAAATCTGTCAGTAGACACAAGTGATTCATATAATAAAATGTCAAAAGGGGCTTTCTTTCAAATGACATGAACCGAGATTTGCTATTTATTAAGGACTTTCTTTGGATTTGTGAGGTCACTCAGAGAGTAGGAGGCTATAGAGACAGTTTCATATTGAAACATATTATTTAAAAGCTCAGATATTATTGAAAATCCTCAATCTTAGTCACATAGAAAAATAAATGTTTATAACAGGTTTGTTAAAAATTGAGTGCTTTCACAAAATCGTCTGTGCCTATGTTAGCATGTGTCATAGGTTTTTACTCCGGTTTGTTATAAATCATGGGGAAATAACAAACTCTGGGCTTGCTTGCTGGTTTCGACTGTAAACATATTGAAAGCTGGCACAAAATAGTGTCTGTTGGCAACCTAACTCCAGAAATATTGATGACTGCTGTAAATCATCCTTTCAAAAATCCATGAGTCAAACCTTGGCAAAGACACATAGGGAGATCAAGTATGAGAACAACTGCAGGAAACAGTTGTTCTCATACTGTGTCTTGTGTGCGTGTTAAATACTGCATGTGACCACTCATGCAATTCTGCGCTCATGTCTATGATTCCTGCAAGGAGAGCGATACCTCGCTGGATGAGCGGGCAGAGCTTTCGGCTGCTGGATGCTGTTTTGTAAGGATGATAAATGACTGAGCTTTGGTGTGCAGAGCTGTGAAACCCCATGTAGCCTTGGAGCAAGATCTTCTTGTATTTAGTGTTTTGGAGGAAGAATATATCGGAAAATTAGTGTTTGCCTCATCGGCTACACGGCAGCACAAGTAAAACACAATGTCACTGTGCTGAACAAGCTAAAAACATCGTCCCTTATTAATGATACGGCACCCCTGGCATCGTTGCCCACCTCTCAATTTTAAATACACGTAGACATTGAGGGCTAGCAGGAGGGGCTATGCGCTTACCTGCTGCTCTCTGGCAGGTAGCTCCATGCCCTCCTGGGTTTTAAATGCACCTTAGAACACACATGCATCAACACTACAATGAGCGGGTGGAGGGAGGTTTGGAGTCTTCACTCACCCCCATTCTCTGCGGCCTGCTGGAGCGGGGGGGCTAGGAGGAGGAGTTGGCCGTCCGACTGCGGTCTGGAGTGTGGGGCCTCCCTGCTGCTGCGGAGTCGGGGCGGTCTGCCTCTCCCCACCGCAGGGAAAAGGGTAACACCACCTGGGTCTGGGTGCAGTTCCCCCCTCCAGGGGCAAGGGTACCTAGACCCGGTTCGTAGAGTACGCTTGGGGAGTGTGATCGTGTGTACAGCGTCTCTTTATGTCTGTCTCCACGTTGGTTGAGTGTGGAGTAAGTGCATATGAGAGCATGAGGGTGGGAATGGATGTTTGTATCTGTGTGTGCCTGTATGTCTGTGTCTATATGTCAGGTTGGGTATCAGACGCCACCTCTCTGGGGACATCTCAGGCCCTCCAAGGTTGGAGGCCTATCTCCCCACCACCACTTCCCTGCCAGTGGCGAGACGCCCTCAGACATCGGTGCGTTGGTGGTTCTTTGTGTCCGGGGATGGGCGTCCAGGTACACACCGGCTCACTCCTTGGCTGCGCTTGTCGGGGCCTGGAGCCTGGGGCTCGCTCGGGCCACTTCGGGGTGGGGTGCCCTCGGCCTCTCGGCCTGGGGCTCGGTCACTCTGGCACAGCTGGCTGCCGGCGGAGCTCACGGGCACGTCACTGCAACCCCCCCTGGCTTCTGCTCCGCGGCTGCTGAGTGAAGCCCTCATCTGGGACTCTCCTCAGCTCTTTCTGGGACAGTGGCGCGGCTGCCCCTCTGTTGGTCTTCCTTGGTCTCTTGTGTTCTGGGGGCCTCTGGATGTCTGGAGTTTTGATCTCCTCCATACCTGCTTCATGCCCTGGAGGACGGGGCTGTGGCCCCCCCACACCCTCTAGCAGATCATTACATGAAGGAACCTTTTAAATAACAAGCGCGTCACACTCACAGGTGTACACACGGGATCACACCCACAAACTACACCCTTTTTGGCTCCTACCTCAAAGCACACTGTGGTTCTGTCGATTTAATGCTGCACAATAATGTTTAATATTTAGTATTTACTGTATATTCCCATAGTATCATCGTGATGTTGTTTATTCTATTGCTCTCGTTTTCTTCTGCTTGTTTTCTTTTTTCTTTCTCAACAGGTGATCCAGGTGATTGATATATGTATTTTTTTCTCAGCTTATTCTTTTGGTTTTTGTTTTTTTGTCCTTTATCCCCGTCCCTCTTCTCCGCAGTTTTTCCCCTTCTTTTCCTCATTCAAGTCTGTCCCGTATCTAGCAAGTGAAAATAAAAAATAAATAAAATAAACAATAAAAGGTGAATCAAATAGACCATTACGGCAAGGCTGGGATGGTCAATTTGGTAAAGTAAATCCGTTGGGCATCTTTCTTCGCCTTTAGACAATAATTCTGATGGCAAAAGAACCAAACGGGACAGGCAAAAAAACCCCAACATTTTAATGATACAGCAGTAGCTCACCAGGTTTAGATATGTACATCGTGTTGGACGTTACTGTAAAAGATTTGTTACACTTCTTTATATCTGTGCTGTCTTGCATTAGTAGGCAGCTTTTAATAAATCAATATTTAGCAATCAATAGTTAAGCATCAGTGAGATGGACTGCACTGCCCTAGTTTTTTAATGTTTTTGCTTTTGCAACTTTTTGCAATTTTCTTTCATTTTTCCTCAGTACATTTTGAATGCCTACCTGTTTATTCCTCATCTCAGCATTTTGTGCTTACTGTACAAAGTACTTCTTTGTCAGCAATGTTCTGTTTTCTTTCCCTTTTTCAGATGTTGTTTACCTACATAACCACCTCTTCAACTCTTCTGTCTATTCATATCCCTCCTCTTCCCATTTTTTTTTCTTCAGATGTCAGATTACAGTGAATGAGAAGGTTTACAAGCACATAAATATTTATATCATTACAAATGCATCTTCTGGCTCCTCTGTCTGTTTGCTTTACTGGAGAGTCAGCTAAATCTCTATAGCTAGAGAGTGCATGGCCCCGAGTCCTATGAATAATTGAAAAAAGGTACTTGAAGCTACGTAAGTTACACACAGTTCAAAGCTGTCAGAGTTTCATAGATGACTTTTAGATCTGTTGTGTTACTTTATTAAGAGTATTTGATTCTGATCATATATTATGCATTATACTGAGATATTCCCATAGTTTAAACATGATAACATAACAGTTCAGTAAAAACTTACTTAAAAGTTGGGGAATAGTGTCAAAAAAATGTATCCACGCAGAGATTAAACAAGAAAAGACCGAAGGGATTGCTGACAAATTGATGTGTTAGAAGCTATTCTGACAGATGTGGTGAAAAGTATTGCACTCAACACAGGTTAATTGACATCCTTGAATTGCCTTATCCAATCATGGCAAGCAGCAGGCTAGTAAGGGCTTAAGTTTCTCCACACATTGATGTTGACGTGTGCACAGGCGCAGGAGCAATACTCTGAATACTGTACTGTGTGTATAGGAACCTTGCAGAATAGAGGCCTTTCTTGACCTTTCCAAAAAAACAGAGTTGCTATGTGTGCTCTAAATGTAAGTTACTAATGTTTAGCAGTTTTATTTACTAGCTTACTGCTACCAATAGTGATCAAACCCAGTATCAAGATTAATTCCAAAGCTAAACAGCATTTCTTTTTGATTTTCAGGTGTTATTAAATTCAGAGTGGATTACTATACTACACACCAGCGTAGCCAACACAAGCTTTAGGTGTGCGACACCTGCTCAGTCTGGCCAGGCAAACTGCACATCCCCAAAAAATAAAAGTCACAAATCTGATTACTGATATTGGTCCATAAAATCACAGAAAGTGCAAAAGACTGATTTAGCAGCTTTAGTTGATGAAGCAATGGACACATGCCTCTTAAACTACCTCTTGTAAAATTATAAAGTAACATTTAATATTTTTAGGCTTTCTCTCATTCCCTTTCATTCTACAACTACCTGCACTTGATTACAAACTTACATTTCTATAAATGTTCGTAAAAATCAAGCTGAGCGTCACTTCAGGCAAGTCATGTAGTCATGTATCATATACTGCATGGGACATAGGTAGTTACAACAAGTGAAGGATGTCAGACCTTAGTCTATACATATTCCATATATATACTGGAGTATATGTAATATATTATCCATCCTTAGACTCTACATATATTTGTTGGGTCTTACAGACTATCGGTCCAAAGGAGGGCTGGCAGGTGTACAGCTCAGCCCAGGATGCTGATGGGCGCTGCATCTGCACAGTGGTGGCACCAGAACAAAGCCTGTGCTCTAGAGACGCCAAGAGCAGACAGCTCCGCCAGCTACTAGAGAAGGTAAACACACGATTTTACCACACACCTGCACACACACGTTGTTTTATAAAGGATAGGAATAAAGACGTAACAAGTCTCTATAAGCTTTATTTTCCTTTCATCTCCCGATACAAGGTATTTTATTGTGAAATTTAACTGAAGTGGGGTGCTGCTAGGCCTTTCCAGGATTTTTTTTCTCTTTTCAACAATAGCCCATTACAAATTTCAGGCACACACAGGCTCACCAGGGAAACCCATCAAAGTGCCTTTCAGTTAGCTGCGCTGGCTGGAAAGAAGGAAAGAACAGAAGACGTCATATATTTACTTTACAACCATATCATGGACTGTAGCTAGCGTCTCAGTTTGTGCATTGGAACCCCCGTTCCAGTTTTAACGTGGCTTCTTTTATTCTAGGTGCAGAACATGTCTCAGTCCATTGAGGTGCTGAACCTGCGCACTCAGAGGGATTTCCAGTATGTCATGAAGATGGAAAACCAGATGAAGGGTCTGAGAACCAAGTTCAGACAGATTGAGGATGACAGGAAATCCATCATAGCCAGAAATTTCCAGGTGTTTTATTTTTACCTGGTTAATGTTCAGTGGATCTTTGTGTTTTGTTTTCATTTATGTGAATTAGTTGTTTTTATGCCTTTCTGTACCATGAATCTGTTAAAGTGTAAACAGGCTCAGTATCTTTTCTCATGCAAGTCTTTACATAAGTTCAATCTAACAGTTCTTTTAACTTAATATATTTCAAAGAAGAGAAAACCAAGAAATACTAAGTCATGAAAGGGTTTACTAGTTGAGTTAATTGACACTGTGAATAGAAAGCCACTGTTGTCCGAGGCTTAATTTAGTGCAGTTGGCTAATAACTACCCTACAGATTCCCTTGAATTTTCACCATAATAATAAAAATGTATAGCATATTTACCACAAACCCTTCAGAAATCATTCAGAAAGGGTTCAAATCTTAGATTTCTTTTCGCTGCTGTCACTGCCCCGTGTGGATTGTACTGGACAGCTGGTAGGGGAGTAGGATTATTTCTGGTGTGGCAAATTGTCTGACACCAAATGAACTGAAAGATTCGCAACAAGCAGCTGGAAAATCAGAAACTGAGCTGTTGGTTGACCACCAACAAATTCCAATGTCATTGTATCATTGCAAATAGGAAATTGGTCCATTTCCTTGTGTTTAATAGTACTAGATGTCAGTGCTAGCATTACTTTATTCTTTCATGTAAGGCTGACTGTTCTACTACAGTACAATAAAACTCTACCATGGACATTTCCTGACATACAGTAATTTCGTTTCTTCCTAACTTTTGCACCTATCCGCGATCTCCCACCTCTTCCCCTTTGTTTCTCATCTCTGCTGCTGTCATTTCTGTAGGAGCTTAAGGACAAGATGGACGAGCTGAAGCCGTTGATCCCTGTGTTGGAGCAGTATAAGATGGATGCTGCACTCATCTCTCAGTTCAAGGATGAGATCAGAAACCTGTCTGCGGTGTTGACAGGCATACAGGAGGAACTTGGGGCGTATGACTACGATGAGCTTTATCAGCGAGTCCTGCGACTAGACAGTCGGCTCCGCAGCTGTATGGGCAAGCTGAGTGAGTAGTGTGCACTGCATTTTGCTGATAGTACAAAAAGTTTGAATTCTTCGTGTTATCACAATAAACTAAAATAAGAAGCCACATGTGTACTGAGAAAACTGTGCTCATCTAAAAATAATACTACTGTGTGTGGTAAAAACAATGGCATTAGTATGTTGTAACAAGTTCACATAGGAGTATTGATGTTATAGGTGTTGCCATCATGGTGTACTTGTGAGTAATCCTGCTAAAGAAATTAACCACCTAGGGAAATGCACAGTGCTGTGCTTAAGTCTAGAGCCATCGCTCATTTCTGTGTATGTTGCTAGGACAACAGGAAAATAGTGCAGCAACTTATTCAAACATGTGGAAAACAAAAGTAACTACCGGTAGTTCTATTTGGTATGACCACCTTCATTTTTCATCACAGTCTGAACTGTCTTAGACAAGTTTTATTGTAACTTCTTTAAGTAGTCTTCTTGAACTAATACTGTTACTGTTTATGAGAAAGACCCGAGATGCAAGCACAGGCTGTGATGTGAGTGAACTTTATTCCAAAAGGTGAAAATGCAAACAGAAGCAGAGAATGTCCAGGACAGAACTAAGAGCACAGCCCATTCTCACTCCTGACGCATAATATACCAACGATTTGTCACATTCCGAGGCGTTCCATGGAAATGTGAAAGGTGACCTTCTGTGTTCCTATGCTACGCGCTGGATTGTGGATGAAATCGAACAGAATGACACTCCCGCGGTAACACACATTCCAGCCGTGTAACCCTAACCATAACCTTATCCCTAATCTTAACCACCACATTAATCGTGTTAGATAGTGTTTTCCAAAGTGATTTAAGTAACAGAAACGTAAATGTGTAGATTCATTTCTCTCATGTTTCCTCATTTTTCCGAACTCGTAGAATAGGGACCTGTTGGGTGACCGTAAGCGCAATATACCGATGATTTGTCACCTAGCGTAAAATGTTACGCTTTGGGAGTGAGAACGTGTTTCAGAGCAACCTAAACTGGGATAACTAACAAAACAAACCGGAAAACATGAAACGCATGGGCACCACAGGGCATGATGAGCAGACGAACCAACGACGTGCGCTGGAGAACACACACTAATATACACAAAGGGAAACGAGGAAACTGCACACAGGAGGGAGACACAGCTGAACCTAACAAGCATGATGAAGCAGGGAGGATGCAAACTGAATATACTGACATCAGACACAGACTTTCAAAGTAAAACACTGACAGAAATCAGAGACAAGATACTGACAGGGAACATACGGGCAGGGATGACTAGACTAGACTAAAGAGAAGAAGCTCAGAACCAAAACCGAAGAACTAGGAAAATTTTAACAGAATACATAACCAGAATAAACAAGAACATAAGATAATGTTAATTAATACAAAACACACAGTTACATTGTGTGTTTTCTTATGCAGACATGCTTTTACAGCAGTTTTAGAATCGCTGTCATGCTGAAAAATGAAGCCTTTACCATTTAGATGTTTTCCAGATGGATCAAAATCCAGCATCACTTGCCTGCATCAATAATTGCATCAGTTCTGAAAAAATCCCCAAGACCACTGAAATGCAGCCCAAATGACGGTGTTTTACAGATAGCTGTACCTCTCTTCTAATCTCCTCCATATATATTGACAACATATTGAACCAAAAATGTGGATTCATCACTCCATCACCTGTTGCGTGAGATTTTCGGTCCAGTTTTTGTGTAACGTGGCATACTTCAGACCTTTCCCTGTGTTTTCCTTCATTAAGAAAGGCAGTCACTCTTCCACTGAGACCATTGGTGATGAGGCTTCACCAAACAGTAGATGGATCAGCTGAACTGCCAGACGCAACTTGAGGGTTGTATCCTGAAATCCTAGAAAATCAGTGAGGTGCAGGAAATGGACTGAAAATGAGTGAAAAAAAAACAGCCAATGTCCAAAGAAAACCTTCAGAAGGCTTTAAGAGAATCTGGATTAAATTGTTCAAGATCACTTAAAAATGACACAAACATCTGGCTCTTTGGAAGCAAAATATATGAAAAAATGAGCAGTGGCTTTACACTTGCACACAGTTTCACAAAGTACTTTAATATAATATAATTAATATAACCAAAGCTTCAAAATCTTTGAATGTCCAACTTCAGATACTTTTACTATTCTTTGCTTATTTCTTGTTACATCTCAGAGTGACAAATGTTGCTCTGAGATATAACAACTGTGAGAAATAAAAAACCTTGTGAATGTCAGTGTGTTTCATCTAGAATTCATGCTGGTGAAAGACATTTTTTAAGGACTGCTGTAATGTTTGGCCTTTAACATTAAATGTTCTAAAATCTCTAACTGAGGGAAGTGAGAGTAATGTGCCATGCCTAATTTCTTCCTAATGGGCCAAAAAGGAAGCACTTTGTGCCTTTAATATCTACAAGCACAGTTTCTCCCGGGAAGTTAAGCTATTAATTAGTACAGTAGGCAACATTCAAATTACATGGTGACTTTCAGGGATCTGTTTTCTTATGCTTTGAGTGGGGAGCAAAGTGAACAAGCAGAAGATGGATTTCTTAATATGATGGCAATTTTAATGACACTTGTTCCGTACTTGAAGATCAACCATCCATTACTAATTGTGCTTAAATCAAGCCTGTTATAACTTACCAATTTAACAGGTGGAGGAGGTCTGCATAGAGAAAGAGATGTGTACATTTTTAATCTTCAGATACTCTAAAGAACTGTGCAGTAGACATAAGTTGAGTTTCCTTTAGCTACAAACATCAGTTGTGTAATACTGTTTTAAGTTAAATTAAGCATCTTGCTTCCACTGCTACCTTAGTATGCACGGAGGGCACACTCTGTGGTGGAACAGGCATGAAATTGGCTTCAGAAATCTAGTTAGAGACAAAAAGCACCACAGCACATCTTATCGCTGCATTTCTTTATTAACAGCGTGTGGGAAATTAATGAAAATCACTGGACCTGTTACAATAAAGACATCTGGAACCCGGTTTGGGGCATGGATGACTGATCCTCTCGCATCAACCAGAAACAACAGGGTGAGTTATGAGAGCATGAGGGTGCGATGCATTTAATATCAGCGATGTGCTCTGTTGTTAAAGTGGGCAGAATATCACAGCAATTTAAGAAGAGGCTTGCATTTATAGATGGGGTTTTGATTTATTTATTTATTTTTGGGAGGGGTGATTTTAAAAAGATGTACGATGTGGGTTTTTTTTAATAATATCAAGAATGATTCAGATTTGATTTTGTATTGCTGATGGCTGATTCTAACCATCTGTCCTCTCCATCATCTCTTGTTAGGTTTGGTATATGGACAGCTACAGCAATAGCAAGATTGTACGTGAATACAAGACAATGGAAGACTTTGTAGCAGGAGTGGTTTCTCGAACCTACAGCCTCCCCTTTAAATGGGAGGGAACAAATCACATGGTCTACAATGGATCGCTTTATTACAACAAGTACCAGAGCAACATCATTGTCAAGTATAACTTCGAGACGGGCAGCGTGCTGGCCCAGCGAGCTTTGGAATTTGCCGGCTTCTACAACATGTACCCATATACGTGGGGGGGATACTCTGACATCGACGTCATGGCTGATGAACTGGGAATGTGGGTTGTGTACGCAACCAATCAAAATGCTGGAAATGTTGTCATCTCTCAGATCGACCCTGACACCCTGCAGGTCCTAAAGACTTGGACCACCGAATATTCCAAAAGGAACGCAGGTGAATCTTTCATGATCTGCGGGACACTTTATATTACTAATTCTCACCTGTCGGGAGCAAAGGTTTACTACGCTTACTCTACCAAGACTTCGACCTATGAATACATAGACATTCCTTTCCACAACCAGTACTTTCACATCTCCATGCTCGACTACAATGCCAGAGAGAGGGCGCTGTACGCTTGGAATAATGGGCATCAGGTAATATTTAATGTGACCCTTTTTCATGTCATAAAAACTGATGATGATTCTTAAGTGTGATACTTTTCAACTACAACTACAGCACCATCGTTTGTGATACAAGGACCTCCTTATTGACCATGTTTTCTTCTATTTGAAATGGACTGTGGTTTCTTTACTTCGCATTACTTGAACTTTTCTAATTTTTGCCTCTGGATTCTTGGCTGACTTGAGCATGGACTTTAATGCTTTACTGAAAAACATGCTATACGGTTTATACACATTTCCGTTGCTGCTGATCAGACTAGTATGCCTTATTTGCTAAGTGTCAGGTCTGCCAGCACAAGACGCTTTTGCATGAATGTTAACATTTTGTCCACAGTGATTTGCTATGACATGACTGTGTTTTGTTGCAAAATTGTTACTTGCTTTACAGTGTTTGCTTTCTTTGTCTTATTAAAATTCTATTTAAAAGTATTTAAACCTTGAAAGTAACGTATTAATGATTGTAAAATGTAGTTGCCATTCTTTTAAAGATGGCCCTGTAAAATATTATTGTTATGTATGTCTCTGTGGAAGAACATTTGTATTTTTTATAAAACCAAAACCATGAGACGATATCGGCGCATTTTCATTAAAACAAATTATTGTACATTTCATTCAAATTATTTTGTCTGCTAAAAATGAATATCGCCCCTGATCTGATGAAGAAGCAGTCAGCACCCTAGTCTAGTCATTCGGCTTATTCCAATCAGGAAAGGATGCATCCCACAGTGGAAGCCATTTGCCTTGTTTGGTTTGTGTCCATCATAGGCATGCAGTATTCATATTAGCATATGAGCACTCATCTAAAAGAGTTTGAGGTATGCTGCAGATGACTCTCCCTTTTGAAACCCAACCTGTATCATCTTAAACAGGACAATTTGATCAAATGACTTCTCCTGAAAGGTGATGGAAAAATAGAAGTATAGTACTGCACACAAGTCTTAAGCTGTACCTCATTTCTTTATACTGTATTTTTTAAATATACATGGAAATACAGAGTATAAGGCAAAAACAGTTTGTACAATTCTTAAAACCTTGAAATTCAACGACCATCTTTATTCTTTATATTCTGAACTTTCTTATTCTGCTTTCTTGTTATTTCTTTAAGTAGTCTTCAGAAACAGTTCTCCAAGCTTCTTGAAGGACATTCAAAGCTTTCCTTTGGATGTTGGTTCCCTTCTGTTCCTTTCTATGTCAAAATGATCCCACACTACTTCAATAAAGTTGAGATCCAGGCTATGGGGAGGCCAATCCATGACTCTATTGTGTGTTTTTCTAACCAGGTATGTTTTGTTATCAGCAGTGTGTTTGGGATCATTGTCATGACTAGAAGAGTAGAATTTTCAAGTATCTGCGCTTTATTTGAGTAGTTTTTCTCTGACAACTTTTTACTTTCACTCCCTAAATTTTTAAACAAATATCTGTACTTTCTACTCCTTATATTTTCAAAATGAGCTAGTTACTTTTGGTTTAACAAATTTGCAGGGAGTTATTGTTTCACATCACTGAGAGCCTTCAAACATGAAACCGATTTGAGCCTAAACAGAAACACATGAAAGGTAGTCCTGTTTGTATATTAATCACCAGGGTATGTCACATAAAGACAAATGACGTGTTGATAAACTGGAAATGTAAAGCTTACATGTAAGTCCTCATGGTTTTAACTCAGATATTGAGTCTGTAAATTTGAACCTAGTTTTTCATATTGTGAAACATGCTGCAAAGCAAACTGAGGTAGATCAACTGTGTGCAGGTTAGTGCAGGATAAACAGGGTAGTTTGCTGTACTGTGATGGATTTAAAGTAAAGAACAGTGTGTGACTGAACAGCTGCCTCTTCTTCTCTCATTCGCTCCCTCCCTCTCCTGTTGCTACTTCAATCGTGAAACTGATCAATGATCAGCTGATCGGCTTTTCTCTCGTTTGTTTATCGCCTACTTTGCGCCAGAAAGAAGAAACCAGCGGATGTCACGCTAAACAACAGCAGCAGCATGTTTAAGCTTGATCAGCTGTTGTTAGAATTTATTTAATCTTACTTTCTAGTATCAGCTGATGTTTGTTGGAGCCACAGCTGTAAAAGCTGCTGGTCATGATGTCGGTTTGGTTATCTGGTGAGAGGGAAACATGAAGATGAAACCAGGAGATGTCCTTACTGAATCATCAGAGCTGTGATGGAGAAACAGGTTTACCTTTTGGGTGACATGAATGAGTTGAAGGGAAGTTATGAACTGTTTCTGAGAGACAAATAACACCAGGATCCTTTTTTAGGTAGCTTACAGCTGGTAACTGTGCAGGGGCGGGTCTAGCAAAGTGTTGCCAGGGGGGCATGTAGGGCATTAACAGTGAGAGGGGGGCACAAAGTACTTCTCTTTCTTATTCTCATTTAAAATGTCTAGCTTTTAAAAAATAATTAACTGAATCTTACAACAAACGATTGATAGATTGATGCATATATACCATCAAAACAGTGTACATCACTGTCACAATAGCGTTTGTTTTCATTCAAAGGCTTTATGATTTTTCCTATAATGGTGGGCCGGTCTCTAGTCAAAATGCCCGGGCCAACTTTTTGTCCCAAACCAGCCCTGTAAGCAGCTCATCTGCAGTCTGGTGTTACCTACATCTTCCTATTGAGAAGGCAGAATTTTTGCGTTCTGAGTACAATCAAAAGCACCACGACTGCAGTTTTCGTGTTGGATGTAAAAAGCGCACATGACGCTGTGACGTAGGCTAGAATCATGGCGGCGGTCAATGGCGGTCTAGGCGTGGGATTTCTCTTGTGGAAATATGCAGATTATTTTTTCCTTTCTATTGGTAGGTGGCACAGTGCACTTGTGGCAAGTAAGCAAGCTAGAAGACTGGCAATCTTGCTGGGTATCCAGTTAAAGAAGCAACACATTAACAAGAGAAGTCTGAGTAAAACCAAAGTTACTTTCCCTAGTAACTAGTGAAAGTAACTAGTTACTTTGAAAGTAACAAGTAACTTGAAGTAACTGAGTTACTTTTGATAGAACTAGTAATGTAACTAAGTTACTAATTTAAATGTAACTTACCCAACACTCACTGTTTTACTTCTCTCCTAACCTCCCTCCATATATATTGAAGTCTAATAAGGGTTTGGCAAACACTAAACGGATCAGCTGACAGGCTGCATGCATCTCTTAGCTACTGTATCAGGCCTTTGCTGGATTTCTTTTCAATTTCTTAAGGACTTGACTTTCAGATTGTCAGGGGGCAGAGTGGCCTGTACTGAACAGGACTCAGGTGCAGAAACCCAGAGCAGAGACAGCAGATGATGTAACAATTTATTAGGCTTAAGTGCAAAAAAAGAAAACGTAGCAAAGACAAAAAAACAATAAGACGTGGAGTTTGACGAGGCGTGGCCTGGGGAACGTGGCTAGGCGAGGGAATGAGGCCTGAGATGCAGAGTGGAGCTGAGCAGGGAACAGTCACGCTTAAGAGAGAAGAGTTAGGGAGGTAGTGGAGGCAGCTCTGAAGTGGCCAGTTGTAAGAGTAGCAATTCTTACTTGCAGTAGGGGACATGGAGTGTTGAGAGGGGGGTGATGAGAATCCAGGGGAGGCTGAGTGGCGTGGAAAGGCTGGCCTGAGATCCGGGGCTTCAGATGGAGTGTGATGGCAGGAGGGCAGGCAGGTGAGGCACAGAGAGATTTTCAAAATGATTGCTTGGTATCCTGAGTCCAGAGGTGGAGCATGAGCCAAGGTGAATACAGCAACTGCAGCACAAGAGAGTCTTGTTAACAAGATAGATCACCGCAAGAACCTGAAGTATAAGGCCTGTTACCAACATCTGTTGATGACAAACTGGCAGTGAATGAACATAAATGTGTGGTTTAAATCCCTCTGGCTTGATTGCCTGCAATAGGCTCCAGGTGTGCAGGAGCTGGAGTTGGCCCTGCCCAGGGGCGGATCCCAGGTCAGTTCAGGAGCCTTATGGAAATTCCAGCCACCCACCGCAGACCATGACACAGATACTGTTCAGTTGCTGTAGATAGTTTTTTAAGCCTGCCACTTCTTTTTTTTTTTTTGACCTTTTACAGTTCTTTATTGACAGATACTGTAAAGAAACAACAAGAAAGCGGAGGGAGAAAGAGAGAGGGGAAGATATGCGGCAAAGGGCCATGTGTTGGACTCAAACCCAGGTTGGCCACTCTCAGCCATATGGCATGTAGTTGAATTCAACCGGCGCCCCCTGCCACTTCTACTTTTGTCCTCGTTTCAGTTTCATCAAATATTTTTAGAACACACTGTACACCATGTTGAGATACTATATGACAAGTTTTCAGCTAATAACTAACTACTACTTTATGCCTGTCAGACTTCATTATCTTTGCCATTTGTATTACTTAACTATAGAAATAGGAATAAATTAAGTAATTTTGCAACAGAACACCAGCAACAACCTGCCTGAAGAGGCAATTTAAAATTTGCTCTTTGCTAAGTTGTCTGTTACATGTGGAAACAAGACTGGTTTATTTCTTGTGTTTGTTGCCTTTTTGTGCGATTCATAAGTCAGCATTAAATGGCTTAACAAGCAAAAATAACTAAATAAAACAAACATTCCTCTGAAAATGGTCGGGTACAAGAGCTGGACTGACAATGAGTGACAAGCAGCCAAACCTACAAAAGACCTTCAGAAAGCCTGGAGAAGTATTGCTGAATACTTCTCCAACAAATGAAAAGAAAATCTGGCTCCTTGGAAGCAAAATATGAAGAAATGAGGAGTGGGTCGAGACTTTAGCACAATACTTTGGATTTTAGTAGCGAGGGAAGGAATTGTTTGCACTTGAAGATAACCTAAACTAGAGTATTTCAGATTGTGTTATAGCTTAAGTGCTTCTAATAGAATATATAAAGTAGCTAAATATGCTTAGCTATTTTACAGAGACACTTGCAGCATACCATTAACTCGTGTGGATCCCACTTCAGGAAAGGAATTGATGGAAGCTGCAAGGTATTGTGGGGCTTAACGTAAGATAAAAAGACTCCTTCTTTTCATTCATTATAATGAGGGGTAAAGATGAATAGATATGATGATGCTGGTAATGACAGCATCTCTCAGTAAGAGGGAAGAGGATATTCATGCACTCAACATTAGACTTTCTAATGGCTTAAGAGTTATCCTTTGGCATTTCAAGCAGCATAAAAAGGCAATGAGCTGCTGGGATGTTCACTATAATTTCCTTCTCCTTACCACTGTGTCTCTATCTTCAGCAACAAAGAATATGTTTACTTTACAGTCCCCAATGGTGAGTTTTGAATATGTCACAGTGTGGTCTATCTCTTTTTAATGGGTAAACAAACAGTCATGTTTTCATGCACACATAATGAAACAAGCCTGAGGCAAAATACATTTGCACTGGCACACATAAACAAACACAGACACATGCTTGGGGGTGGACTGCAATCAGTTAATTTCATCAGCATCCATCAGAAATCACAGGCATCACTGTCATCTGCCTGACACGACCTACAAGAGCCACTGTGTAAGCAGTATGTTTAGACACTAAAGGTAATCCATTGTCGCTGTATTGTACAGCTCTGCAATTCACTTCTTGGGTTTTAAAGTGCTGCAATTTAGCTCGAACGTGAGACACAAGAGTCACTCTATATATTACAGCTGGGTCATTAAGGTCTTGAACAATGAAACATGTTTTGTAATTTCACCCCTGTACACCACCAGAGTTAAATCAAACATCAAGATCTGCTTCAAGTGCAGACTTTCACATTTAATTCAAGTGATTTAACATTTTCCCACACCAGAGTAATATTTTGAGCTTATCAGTGACTCATAAATCATCATTGATGGTATATATTCAAAGAAAGAGCAGAAAGTTAGATTTCTAACACTACATCACCACCTGAAAACACTGATTGCTGGACTATTTCATCATTACCCAGGATAGTGTTAAAAAAGCATTGCTTGAAGTCTTTTAGAATTACATTACACATTGTTATCAATAGTCTCCCATATTCAAAGCCTCACAATGAACTGAAAAAATGAACATTGTTATAAGTAAGAAGATTGATTTCAATATTTGGATGAAAATCTGTTGCTCTCTATAACTGTCTAAAGTCGAGAATTCATGGACATCACTGAATGCTATGTTTCTCTCCCAGAGATGCTCTGCTATCCCTTCACTTGAGCCACTTTCGGTTGTTGCTGTTTGAGGTGCTCACTGCATTCAGTTTTATCTCTAGTAACTAGAAACTCTGCTCTGTTAGGCTGAGATCAAGTGACTGAGTTGGCCATTGAAGAATATCCCATTTCTTTGCCTTGAGAAATTGGATATTCAAAAGCAACCCATGGCTAGTATATTGGGTTGCTTTTGCAGTGCATTATCCCTTTTCACAGTGAAGCAGCATCTAATCATTTTTGCAGGATTAGTCTGAATCCAAGCAGGGAGGATAGACCTATACACTTCAGATTTCATTCTGCTACTTGAATCAGCAGTGAACTGAATCAGTTGGCAGGAATACACACCCATGCCATTACACACTCAGCACTGCGCTGTTTGGCTGATGATGTGATGCGCTTTGGATTATGAGCATTTCTTTTCCTTCCTCAAACTTTCTTCTTCATTTTGGTTTCATCTCTCCAAAGAAAAGGTTGTTTTTTTTGCTGGAGGCAGTGGGGGGGCTGACTCTTTAGGAATTTGACTGTTTGTAGAAAAACATTAGCAGTGTGGTTGATTAATCGTTTCATGCTTTCATGTTCGGAAACATTAATCATCAATAATCACATACAGAGCAAGCACTAGTTTCTGCCTTCTATCTTGCCTGTTCTGTGTGCACAACCT